CGTCTTCTCTAATACTGAACGAAATATGTAAGATTGAATTGCTAGTAGAGCTTATAGTATCATGAAGTCTTGCAGTGGTATGCTTAGGTTTGGGTTTAATTTTGTTAATTATAGGATCCCAAGCAGGTGGCAGCACCCATCCATCTTCTCTATTGAAATTTGGATGTTTTTTTTAATTTCAATAGCCTCGCGTATCATCCTTGGTAGGAATCGGTGTTCTTTTGCGAGGATTTGTGGTTTATCAAATCGAATGTAATGGTGGGGACGATCTTGAACATGTTCGCAGACTGCAGACTTCCCGGAGCGTCGGTGCTTCACGTCAGCTATATGTTCTTTCACGCCGGTTTTTATGGATCTTTTTTGTTTGACCTATGTAAGAGAGACCACATTCACAATCTAACTAGTACACTCCTGCATCTTGTAGAGGGATATTACACTTGACGGATGGTAAAAATTGACTAATCTTCTTCGGCGGCTTGTAGTATGTTTTTATGGAAGCTCGCTTCAAGATGAAGCCAACCTTGTCTGTGCCTCCTCTGACATATGGTAGTACAGCAGGTACACGCTCGACCATACCGAAAAGATCCATAAAAACCCGCGTGAAAGAACATATAGCTGACGTGAAGCACCGACGCTCCGGGATATCTGCAGTCTGCGAACATGTTCAAGATCGTCCCCACCATTACATTCGTTTTGATAAACCACAAATTCTCGCAAAAGAACACTGATCCCTACCAAGGATGATACGCGAGGCTATTGAAATTAAAAAACATCCAAATTTCAATAGAGAAGATGGATGGGTGCTGCCACCTGCTTGGGATCCTGTAATTAACAAAATTATACCCAAACCTAAGCATACCACTGCAAGACTTCATGATACTATAAGCTCATTTTGCGTAAATCGGACCAAAAATTAATATTCAAAAACTGAAGGTAGCCGGACTAACTATGACATTGGGACGTCAAACATCTCAGTCCCCCCCCGTGACCATGGTTGCTGTAAAGCACCCGAAACGTCGGGAATTAAAAATAAGTAAAAGTAGTGAAATAAACGCGATAAAATCCGTAAATTTAGTTTTATTCAATGTGTAGTGTTCGCGTAAATTTAAGAAATCTATAGTGTCATCATTTTTATAATTTCTTCTTTGAAATCAGCCAACTGATTACTAACAGAATCAGCCATTTCTTCTCTAGTCCTCTTGGTTCGTTGAAATACATAATTGGGTGGAGTCTTGTTATTAGTGGACAAAACGTTAATTTCCGTATCTGATACAGATTTATCCATCATGGAATTAATATATAGCAACGTTTTCAATCTTTAAATTAAATAGAAGTTTAATTATCTATATATATATATATTTTTTTCCTTAAACCAAGCCTCAAAATTTTAACTGTAATCGCTAGCGCTTATGAATTATGGCAAGCGAAAGATTAGTGACGTACGTGCGATGTCTGCAGTTATGAATGAAGAAGATAGATAAGCACCCACCCGTAGTAGCATAGACAAACTGTAGTTGTCGCAGTTGCGTTTCTCGGAGTTTCGAACGCACCGTCAACTTCCAAACGCGTTATGATTGCCTGGTACTTGCACGGAATTTGGTAACAAAAATTATTTCTTTAAATTAATTTATTTTTAAAATTTAAACTTGCTCAGAAAACACACGTCTAAACGCATACGCGGTCCGAGGGGAAGAGGATATGGTCTTACTTACACAATTTGCAAAAGTTATTGGCGAATATGAGACTATAGACCAAAAACCCAAAAGGGAAAACACCAGAAGAAAAGACTTTCATAATAGAATCATCCCTCGTATGGTCATGACTAGATACTCTACTTCTCATTATCAATCAGTACTTCTATTTAATAGATTACCTATTGATTTAAAAATATGTTATATAAAAGTAGCTCCAAAAATACATTTAAAAAGTTCCTCCTGGAAAAATGTTATTATAGTGTTGACGAGTTTCTACATGCTAATGCTATTTTTATTATATAAAATTCAATGTTTTTAAACCTTTTATGACATTGATTAAAACTATTTTTACGGATTTTATCGCGTTTAATTTTACTTTTAATTAATTTTATTTTTTATTCCCGACGTTTTGGGTGCTTTCCAGCACCCATGGTCACGGGTGACTGAGGTGACTGACGTCCCGATGTCATTGTTGTTATATTTTACAATCAGACAAAGTAACTGCATTTTAAGAACATCTTAATTCCATAAACTCCAAAATTAAATTTACTATGGAGTTAGAGGCAAATAATTCCTTACCTTTCCTAGATGTGTTAGTCATCTGAAATCTTAACAACACCATAGGTCACACTGTGTATAGAAAAAAGACCCATAAAAACCGATATTCTTCCTATCTATTCTTCACAGTTAGCTACCGTGGCCAAATCTTTGTTACAGAGAGCACGAGGGATCTGTCACAGCAAACACCTGGCCGCCGAGCTTCAGCACGTCAAGCAAGTTCTGCACGACAAAAAGCTTCGGGTCCCGCGCCTACGTCACGGTAACCGAGTGAAGCCGGCCACAGTCGAGCGTGTGCCTGCTGTACTACCATATGTCAGAGGTGTCACAGACAAGATTGGCTACATCTTGAAGCGAGCTTCTATTAGAACATTCTACAAGCCGCCAAAGAAGATTAGTCAGTTCCTACCATCCGTCAAGTGTCATATTCCTCTACAAGATGCAGAAGTGTACAAGTTTGATTGTGAATGTGGTCTCTCTTATATAGGACAAACAAAAAGATCAATTAGAACCCACGTAAAAGAACATATAGCTGATGTAAAGCATCAACGTTCCGGGAAGTCTGCAGTTTGTGATCATATCCTAGACGGCCCCAACCATTACATCAGATTTGATAGACCACGAATCCTCGCGAAAGAACACCGATTCCTACCAAGGATGATACGTGAGGCTATTGAAATTAAAAAAACATCCTAATTTCAATAGAGAAGGAGACTACCACCTGCTTGGGACCCTATAATCAATAAAATTAAAACTAAACCCAAGCATACCACTGCAAGGCCTCAGGACATAATGAGTTCATTTTGCATAGATTGAACCATAAACTATAATTAAAAAGCTGAAGGTACTCCGGGTTTAACAATGACATCGGGACGTCAGTCACCTCAATCCACCGTGACCATGGGTGCTGGAAAGCACCCGAAACGTCAATGTGTATGTGTGTACACTGTGTATAGAAAAAAGACCCATACAAACCGATATTCTTCCTATCTATCCTTCACAGTTAGCTACCGTGGCCAAATCTTTGTTACAGAGAGCACGAGGGATCTGTCACAGCAAACACCTGGCCGCCGAGCTTCAGCACGTCAAGCAAGTTCTGCACGACAACAAGCTTCGGGTCCCGCGTCTACGTCACGGTAACCGAGTGAAGCCGGCCACAGTCGAGCGTGTGCCTGCTGTACTACCATATGTCAGAGGTGTCACAGACAAGATTGGCTACATCTTGAAGCGAGCTTCTATTAGAACATTCTACAAGCCGCCGAAGAAGATTAGTTAGTTCCTACCATCCGTCAAGTGTCATATTCCTCTACAAGATGCAGGAGTGTACAAGTTTGATTGTAAATGTGGTCTCTCTTATATAGGACAAACAAAAAAGATCAATTAGAACCCACGTAAAAGAACATATAGCTGATGTAAAGCATCAACGTTCCGGAAAGTCTGCAGTTTGTGATCATATCCTAGACGGCCCCAACCATTACATCAGATTTGATAGACCACGAATCCTCGCGAAAGAACACCGATTCCTACCAAGGATGATACGTGAGGCTATTGAAATTAAAAAACATCCTAATTTCAATAGAGAAGGAGACTACCACCTGCTTGGGACCCTATAATCAATAAAATTAAAACTAAACCCAAGCATACCACTGCAAGACCTCAGGACATAATGAGTTCATTTTGCATAGATTGAACCATAAACAATAATTAAAAAAGCTGAAGGTACTCCGGGTTTAACAATGACATCGGGACGTCAGTCACCTCAATCCACCGTGACCATGGGTGCTGGAAAGCACCCGAAACGTCACTGTGTATGTGTGTACACCGTGTATAGAAAGAAGACCCATACAAACCGATACTAAAATGGTGAATATCACCATCATCCTTCACAGTTAGCTACCGTGGGCAAATTTTTGTTTCAGAGAGCACGAGGGATCTGTGACAGCAAACACCTGGCCGACGACCTTCAGCACGTCAAGCAGGTTCTGCACGATAATAAGCTTCAGGTCCCGCGACTCCGTCACAGTGACCGAGTGAAGCCGGCCACAGTCGAGCGTGTGCCTGCTATACTACCATATGTCAGAGGTGTCACAGACAAGATTGGCTACATCTTGAAGCGAGCTTCTATTAGAACATTCTACTAGCCGCCGAAGAAGATTAGTCAGTTCCTACCATCCGTCAAGTGTAATATCCCTCTACAAGATGCAGGAGTGTACAAGTTAGATTGTGAATGTGATCTCTCATATATAGGGCAAACAAAGAGATTAATTAGAACCCGCGTAAAAGAACACATAGCTGACGTGAAGCATCAACGTTCCGGAAAGTCTGCAGTTTGCGATCATATTCTAGATGGCCCCAACCATTATATCAGATTTGATAGACCACAAATTCTCGCGAAAGAACATCGATTCCTACCGTGGATGATAGTGAGGCTATTGAAATTAAAAAACATCCTAATTTCAATAGAGAAGGAGGCTGGATACTACCACCTGCTTGGAATCCTATAATTAATAAAATTAAAACTAAACCCAAGCATACCATTGCAAGACTTCAAAATACAGTTAGTTCATTCTGCGTATATCGGACCAAAGACAATAATTAAAAAGCTGAAGGTACTCCGGGTTAACTTTGACATCGGGACGTCAGTCACCTCCGTTCCCCGTGACCATGGGTGCTGGAAAGCACCCGAAACGTCGGGTATTAAAATTAATGTAAAAAGTAGTTTTAATCAATTCTTAGACGACATTCTAGAGCTGTGATATTGCTAATTACGAGTTCTTCTGCCGCCCTGGTACTATTCGACAACTAGCTAACAGTGACGTGATAATGTATCGTACACTGTCTCGCTTTGACTTGGAGCCTGAGCTATCTAGCGTTAAAAGAAATGTTACGTCCAGGATAAAGCGCAAGCGCGATGACGAGCAAACCAATTACATTAATATGAAGGACTATATGGACGAAATCAAAGAAATGTTGTCATCAAATATACTGTAACAAGAAGTAAAATTTAATTCAATTGATAAGTCCATTAAGGATATAATTTTAACTAGCCAATTAAAAGAAAATAAACTATCTTCTTTCGAAAATACCTTAAAAGAATTAAGAGATCAAAATGTTGATATTTTAAGTCAATTGAATTCATATCGAGTAAATATGAGGAAATGTGAGAAAAAATGGAGATCTTGAAATTTGACCGCAAGGCTAGCTTGAACTGCATCAAAGCAATAGAAGACAGGATTGTTGGCTTGGAGCGCAAAGCTCGGTCGTGCAGTATTGAAATGAGAAATGTTACCCAAAATTAGTCTGAACTTAAGCGGGATCTTTGGAATATCGTAAGAAAGGTTTGCATGGAGCTCAATGTCTCAATTGAAGATAAAGAGATACGGGATATTTTTAACTACGTAACCTTATATTAGTTGAATTTGCCAACGTGAACATAAAGGAAGAACTTCTTATCTCAATTAAAAAGAACAAAAGGAGTAAAAAATCACTTACTACTGAGAATCTAAAGATAGCAAGTCCCCAGGCAATTGTGTACATTTCTGAGAATCTTACTTCGAGAATTAAGCGATTATTTTACGTTGCCCGGAATTTTAAAAGAACCGCTAAAAAGAACCCCTTTGTCGTATCTCCTCAGTTTCAAGGCACTCCCCTTTTTGCCTCAGTCAGTATCGGAATCCTCGGCATATCGAGTGACGTGCAGTTTCGTGGTCACTTGGAAGAGAAGGCCAAATTGGCCTCTAAAAAGCTTGGCGTGCTCAGCAGAGCGGGACAGTATTTCATGCCGGTACACCGCCTACAACTTTACAAGAGAATCGATTCACTGGCACTGCGAAGAGATGTTGCATCTCTTTGCATTTTCTTTCACATATACCATGGAGAGTACTCTGAGGAATTGTTCGGATTAATCCCAGCCGCCAAATTTCGTGAACGCACTACGCGGCAGACGTCCCGATACCATCCACACCATCTGGATGCTTGGCGGTCCACCACTGTACCTTTCAAGAGGAGTTTTCTTCCGCGTACAACCTCTCTGTGGAATAGTTTACCACCAGCGATTTTTCCGAACCGATATGACCTGGGGACCTTCAATAAAAGAGCTTACTCCTTTCTAAAGGGCCGGCAACGCACCTTCAATTCCCCTGGTGTTGGGTTGATCATGGACGGCGGTAGTCACTTAACATCAGGTGAGCCGCATGCTCGTTTGCCCCCTCTTCTATATAAAAAAATAAAATAAAATGGTCATGACAATAATTATAAATACATACGGACGAATCATGGTAATGTCTACATACGTAAAGCAGAATCCAGCCCGGCCATACGAATCAACAGTGAGGTGGACCTTGACAAACACAAAACTAAAAACTAACTATGTAATGTTACAATACCGTTATCTTGGCTACTAATTTTTTTTTCTACTTTATATAGTATGTTGCAATGTTATTCGTGTATTTCTCTTGTTAATTTCTGTAAATTGCGTACACTTTTACCATTACACAACAATATAAGCTACTCGCACATAAATATAACTCGTTTAAATATTGTTTTAAATATTACATATTACTGCACTACACTTATCATATTCCCAAAATATTGCTCTATAACCTTTATATCAAATTTAAATATCATTATTATGTTAAATAATACTTTAGGCATCTTAAATGTTACGATTCTATGATAAAATTCACACATGAAATAAATATATTAACGCATTTACCTACTAACAACATGAATGCCTATTTATATTTAAGGTTTATCATAACATTACTGCTATATATAGTTGTTACAGATCTGTTTTTTAATATGCCACAGTTTTTCAATGAATTAAGTGTTTTATCTTTTTACGTACTTATGAACGAATATTTACGAAATCATTTTAAAATTATTGATGGTAGCACAGATATTTGTCTAAAGGTAACAACAATTGTTTTATCAGCCAAATTTATAACTACCCACCTTGTTCCTATGAATTATGCATTGGAATTTTTAATAGTTAAAAGTTAATTCTATAAATACTATCGTTATGGACGATATTGAAAGATCGGGCCATATTGCGTGTAACAGAGTGGGTGTTCCAACTGACTTAGACTTATTATCAGTCAGAATTCCATTACAATTTTTACTGTTAATATATACAGCATTAATACTAATTTCGGTAGTTTTTTGATATTTTTGTCCAAATTAACTTTACAATTGATTTGCTCGTATTAACTGAATGTTGGACAAATAAATATTATATACCACCTAACATTCACGACTACAAAATGTGTCAAACTCTTATTAATCTTAATAAAAACGACGGAGTAGTTGTCTATGTTCAGAATGAACTTGAGTCAACAGCATATGAGCCGTGTCTTATCGATGACAATTGTTTAGTAATTGACCTAAAAGATACTCTCTGTGATTTGTACATATCGTCCTCCATGTTATAAAAATCCTATGAGTTATATCAACTCGTAATAAACGTCGTAATAAACGTGATATTGTTTTAACGGGAGACATTAATCTTGATGTTATGGCAGATAATCTCAATAACTACTCAACTGCATATTTAAATCTTATGGCTACGTTCGGACTTAAACAAGGCGTAAACAGTCCAACTCGACAAAAAACTTTTTTGGATCATTTCATGGTAAAGTCTTGTGCTAAATATCAAACCTATGTTTTTGACGAATTTACAGATCATTCTCCTATTTTTTACATCTGAATTTTACTAAATATATGTATAATAAAATATAGCAAAACAGAAATGCTTAATAAAGTAAAAGTTGATTTTTCTGGCGTACAAAAATGATGGCGACTGAGTCTTGGGATGACTTATACTCAACTAAAGGTGTAAATTTTACAGCACAGATTCTGACACCAAAATTAGAAAAAACTATTAAAGACAACACAATTACTAGTAAAATATCTAAACGTAAAACACCACTTAAGCCTTGGATTACTGTGGGAACAGTAAATTCAATTCGAAAGAGAGATAAGATGCACAAAAAAATTAATAAAAGATTTAAATAATGAGCAATTGGAACACATACCGAAACTATCGAAATACATTAAATAGGTTCAAAAAACAATAAAAAATAAATTATTATAAAGTGATATGAGAAAAAAGTAAAAAAGAAATATGAAAGAAACTTGGAATACAATAAAGGAAATATGTAATATGGAAAAAAGGAAAGAATCTTCCTCAGATTTACTCAAAACATGTTTAAATACTACTCACTCTCTTGACAATGTAAACATCTATAAAAATGCAATTGTCTGCCCCATATATAAATCTGGGAATAAATCTTCACCGACCAACTACTGCTCAATTTCATTTTTAAACACAATGTCTAAGGTTCTCGAAAAAATATTCACAAGCGATTATTGAACTATTTAGAAAAGAATGAGCTTTTAGATAAAAACCAATTTGGTTTTCGTGCCAACAGGTCCACAAATGACGCTGTCCTTCAACTTGCTACAAATATTACACGTTATCTTGATAAAAATGAAAAAGGGATGGGAGTATTCCTGGACCTTCAGTAGGCATTCGATACCATATCTGTTCCAATATTATTAACACGTTTGGAAAATATGAGAATCAGGGAAAATGCACTTATGTGGTTACAGGACTACTTTTCGGATAGAAAACAACGTGTTAAAGTTAATGGCTTATTAAGTAATGAATTCAGCTCCTCTTATGGTGTGCCACAAAGCAGTACACTTGGGCCAAGCCTTTTTTTTTTAATTTACATAAACGATCTGTGTAAAACTAATCTCAAGGGTGCTGATATTCAAATGTTTGCTGATGATACAGTCATACTGTTTCATGGTGAGTCTTGGGAAAATGTACATCGTCTCGCTGAAAATGGTCTTCAAACATTCTATCATGGTTGGAAAATAGCTTGCTAACACTCAACACAAGTAAAACAAAATAAATGTGCTTCAGTAAAACTAATATTAACTCACCCAAATCTTTTAGTTTAAAAATCCATTCTTATCCTTGCAATCGCACGCACGCACGCACGCACGAACGCACGCACGCACGCACGCACGCACGCACGCACGCACGCACGCTCGCACGCAAAATAAAGTGACCTGGAACTAAGGAATCGCACAGTCGTAGAACGGCAGCTTCACACATCTGAAATCCTTGTGCTATCAGATCTGGAAATGTCGTATCCCGTCAGGTTGGCAAGCACAAATACCTTAATACCAACGGGATTAGGCTTTCCTGGGCAGTACTGACGTATACCGCAATGACCACTAAATGGTATAATCATTTCATCTATGCTGATGTGACCCATTTTTTGCTGAGTGCGACAACCCCGAAGAATAGCATCGAACAGTGGTGCAACTTTCCATATTTCATTAGTTTTTTCTTCTTCTGAAACATCGGCATCGTATACTATCTTCAAAGAAATTCTGATTGTGAAAAATCTTCTCCTTGTCATAGCCTTTTTGACAATGTTTATTCCGTTATGTGTTGACCAATAATGTCTAATTTGTGGCAAACTAATAGCACCCATGACTAATAGTATTCCTATAAAAGTTTTCAGCTCTTTCAGTGCAATTTTCAGTTGTTTACCTGTTTTTGAAAAGTAAGTCTGGTTAGTAGCAACCACAATCTTCTCTAAAATATCATCATCAATGTACTGTTTAAAAAACTCTTCTGGCGACCATGACTTTTTGTCCAATAAAATATATCTTGGTTGGAACAATGGCCGCTTCAAAGGTGAAATCTCCATTCCAGTTATTGTCAGTTAATTGCGCAGTAGAACTGCGAATACTAACACTCCGTCCTCCTCTTGTTCTTACACCCCTCTGTTGTCTTGAACGACTTCCTCGTGTTCTGGCTCTGCCTCTAGTTGTAGAATGCCCTCGACAGAATGACGATGAAGTAGAAATTTCTGACAACGACCGAGATTCGCTTTCAGATTCTGAAGGAGAACCTGAATCAGAATCACTTAGATTAGACTCTCTCACAGGAGGTGACTCTTTACCGTCATCGTCGTCTGATAAAATATCCAGATCCGAATCTTCGAGGGCGTCGGTAATGTGTGCATCTTTCAAAACTGAAACATAAATCAATACATGTAACAAAAACAAATGAAATCTTCTAATGTTGTATAGGTATTACATCGGCACTGCGAACATGTAGGTACGGAATTAAGAACCGATGTAATAAATATACGATGTAGGTAGTTAAATTCAAATATACCATAAATAACTACCGCAATCTGTAAAATATTGTTTGCATTACAAAGAAGACTATTTAAATTATAGTTTCACATCAAAAAAATATTGTAAATACTATAGATTTGCATAAAATTTAAGGATTACTCACCACGTGGCCGCCGTTGTTCTGCCATCTTTCGCAACAAGTCGACTATTGTCAAAAAATATGACAAGTTGTAAAAAAAATGGCTGCTTTAAATATTCAAGCAATATATTGTCTGTGTTCTAATTACGAAACTTTGATTATAATTCAACAGATGGAGGTGTAACGAATTTTTATTTTTTATGTTGTATATATACTACTCTAAGCCTCAGGAGGTTAAAAATATAAACTGGTCATTTAGTATAAGTATTTAAATTTTTTTAGATATTTAATTGATTCGTTATGAAATAAAAGGAAGAAATATCGCAAATTAACATTATGTCGTACATTAATAAAAGACCATAAAATCCAACTATATTTGTTCAAAATTAAAGTACCTTAAATTAGGAAGAAATGTTAAGAGTAAAAATGAAATACACAGTTTTAAATCAAATATAATTTCCTTTCCTTCCTAAAGATATATCGGAAGTCATGCCCGACAAAAAAAATTGACAGCGGTTTCTAGATATTTTTACGAGCTTAAGGTTCGTGACAATAAAACTGCCGATTGAATTACCACGATTAACACTTTAATTAGTGAACACTAATTAAAACTTAAATCACACTAATAATTAATCACACTTATCACTTTAGTTCACTTTATTTCACTTCGAAAGCTTCGCTCATATCGCCAATTCAATACTCCTTAGTTCTTCTATTCGATACTAGATGGCGCTAGTGGGAGGGTTCTAGAAAGATCTTGACGCTCCTATTTCTGCTGCTTGATACCAGACGGCGCTAATAATCAGCCTCCACATACCGGGCGCTAATTATAGCGCGCAACAATATTAATGCAATTCAGAAAAAACTATGTCCACAAGTCTCTGAGAATTAAAAAAAAAAACCCTGTGACAAACAGTGACACAAACAACGAGGCGACTTTACAAGTGATCCAACTTTGCTGATTTTGGTACGGAGCAGTATTAATGATATTCCTCAATTAAAGCTCACGCGAGCGAAGCCGAGGGTAATAAGCTAGTAGTAGATAAACTGTGAACATTGACACCTGTCGGTAAATGAAAAAATTAAATATACAAATTACATTTTTTTGTGTTTGTATTAACTATGTCGAATATACCTATATGAAATATTATAAAGGCTATTAATTTGCAAACGAAATAAAAAGACTTTTGTTATAAAGATAAGTATTCTGTTTAATTATAAGAATTTCATTATCAAATTAAAATATAAATTAATAACATGCACTGTATTACTAAATCCAATATTTTTTTAAATTTAAATGAAGATAACAATGCGTTACAAAAATAATTAATTTAATAAGTTACTCCTCTGTGACACCATCATCATCATCATCATTACAGCCCTTCACAAGTCCACTGCTGAACGTAGGCCTCCCCCAAGCAATCCCACAAAGCACGGTCCTGAGCCACCTGCATCCATCGACTTCCTGCATGTCTTACCAAGTCGTCACTCCATCTAGTGGGGGGTCGCCCTACCTTGATATAATTATAAGATTATGGTCAAAAAAATTTTTGTACTCGAAATCGATTTTTACGTTTTTCAACACTTAATAACAGTGTGCATATTTTTGAAAGCAACTGTAGTTTAAACTTGAGAGTAATTTAAATGGGTTCAAAAATTGCACCCGCTGAATATCTAATTTACGTAAACGATATGCATATGATATTATAGTACAGCTCTTTGTAGCAAATTGTTGACGGTATCCGCCTTAGTGTGGCAGAATGTGACCCCAACACAACACAAAGCATAATAGAAAATTATTTTGATCAATTGTACAAATGGGGCTCATGACGTTTAATTGGCTCTAAATTATCAAGAGAGAGAGAGAGAGAGATCTCTTTACGGTAAATGTTGATCAGACGCGACTTCACGCGAACACTTTGTTGATCCGAAAAACGCATATTGATCCGGCGCCTTTTGTTGATCCAATATGCATCTCTGGTAACTAATGTGGCTCCGACCGGATCAATATCTACACTCACGAGACTATTTGCCAGCGTTTGCCGAAGGTGATCCGATATACAAATCCACCTTGCGATGGTTACGGAAAATGTTGATCCGATTTAAATGAGCCAACCAGAGCACAGCAAACGATAAAATAAACGATCGGATTGGCTGAAAGCAGCCGCGACGTTGCCGTTTCGTATCTTTGGCGGTACAAGCCACAGATTTAATGCGTGTTTAATATAATAATGCATTCTGGGTGCTGTTGGGTCTGCCTCGTTATTGTAATGCGCCGGGTAAGTTTGCGGATGCGCGTGTGAATTGTTTCTACGCCACGATGCATAAACGATGCACATCCCTGGTGCGCAGGGTGCGGGCCAGTTCGAATGGTATCCTGAGGGCATTTTCTGACAGGTTTGAGGTCATTACCTGAACCATTGCCATATGGTGCACGTGCTGACTAATCGGGCCTGTCTTAGATATAGTTTTAAAATTAAGTAAATAGTTTTAAGTTTTACTAAAATTAGTTTTAAGATTTGTATTATTACTAACATCTATGATCCTTGTGGTCGAAATAAACGACTTTTTTAACGAATAACTCGACAACGCCCCTTCTTGTAGCGGAATTGGTGGAAACGGCGACATAAGGTATTTGTCCGAGTGCGTGTTTGTGTGTCTGTGTGTGTGTGTGTGTGTGTGTGTGTGTGTGTGTGTGTGTGCGCGCGCGTGCGTTAGTGTGTGTGATGTGTGCGTTCATGTGTGTGTGTGAACGCATGTGTGTGCGCGTGTGTGTGAGTGTTCGTGTGCGTGAGTGCACTGTTGTGTTTTTTGAGTACGTGCGTGTGCGGCAGTGTGCGTGTGCGTGCGTGTGTGCGTGTGTGTGTGTATGTGTGCATATGTGTGCGTGTGCGTATGTGTACGTGTGTGTGTACGCGTGTGCGTGTGCGCGTGTGTGCATGTTTGCGTGTGTGCATGTGTGCGTGTGTGCACTGTTGTGTTTGTGTGTGTGCGGCAGTGTGCGTGTGTGCGTGTGTGAGCAAAATTGATAGGTATAGAATCGAACCATTACATGAGATATTATCATGAGAACTTACCTGCGGTCTTGATGGAGTGACCTCAAAATGTAATTCGGGATTACTACTGAAACTCCTGGACTAGTAGAACTGGGTGTGCCGAGTTTGGGCTCGTTTTGTTAGTTATGATGAGTCATTACCTCCGGACTTGTTGAAGTGACCTGAAGGTATACTTCGGTAACTAATACTGTAACACCTGGACTAGTAGAACTAGGTATGCCGAGTTTGGTTTTTTTTGTTAGTTATGATGAAATCGTCACAAAACAAAAGTTCTTTTCACTTTTTCTCTAGTACCAATGGGTAGCCAACCTGATATTCCGAAAAATGGATAACCTCGTAGTAACACCTTTATGGGCAGTATCGATATCCACTTACCAGCCACACTGTTTTTCGCTGTAACCAACTGTCCTTTATGTGAGCCTCACTTGCCCTCACGCATTACCCACTTTACTGCACTCCAGTGCACCCACCACCACCTCTGCTACCTACGCCTCCACATCTACCACCGCACCCCTCTCTATGCCTTCGTTCTCCGCCTCCACCATAAACTCTGCTCCCTCCGCCTCAACAATAAATAGCGCCCCTCCGCCGCCACCACCACGCGCCGTCAATATTCTTTCCGCCTCCACCACAATCTAAGGTCGCCCCACTTCTGACCCCGCTCTCCCCGTTTCCACTATCTCCGACTTCGCCACAAATTCCTCTCCTCCGCCTTCACAACAAACTACGCTGCATTCCCCTTCGCCTCAACCACGTCTCCATTCTCCTCCTCTGTTTTCTGCACACACACACACACACACACATACACTCACACACACGCACACACACACACCCGCACGCATGTACACGAACGCGCATACACACACGCGCACATGCACATGCACGCACACACACACACACACACACACACGCCCGCACGCACACACACGCGCACACATGCCCATGCACGCGCACACACACACACACACACACACACACACACACCGCGCGCGTGCGCGCGTACTCAAAAACGCAACAGTGCACACACGCACACATACATAGGACAAACTAAAAGATCAATTAAAACCCGCGTTAAAGGACATATAGCTGATGTGAAGAATCGACGCTCCGGGAAGTCTGCAGTCTGTGAACACGTGCAGGATCGCCCCCGTCACTACATCAGATTTGATAGACCACAAATCCTCGCTAAAGAACACCGATTCCTTCCAAGGATGATTCGCGAGGCTATTGAAATCAAAAAACATCCTAATTTCAATAGAGAAGATAGCTGGGTGCTACCATCTGCTTGGGATCCTATAATAAATAATATTAAATCCCAACCCAAGCATACAACTGCAAGACTTCAAGATACCATAAGCTCATACTGTGTAGATCGGAACAAAAGTTAAATTTTAATGTATGGTAACCGCGGTTAACTATGACATCTGGACGTTGAACATCTCAGTCCCCCCGTGACCATGAGTGCTCTAAAGCTCTCGAAACGTCGGGTATTTAAAAAGTTAAATATACGCGATAAAATCCGTAAAAACTAGTATTATTTCAATGTGTAGTGTTCGCGTTAATATAAGAAATTATAATTTCTATAAAATAAATTTGCTGTAGTATCAGAATACAGCCCAAATATAAATTATTTGTAAGTCAAAACTGGAGAGTACAGACTAAAGATATATCTTATTAAACTTTGCACAATTGTATGCCAAATAGCCG